CTCCGTGGACATCACGTTTGATGACGAAGTGCAAGCCCTATTGATTCTATCGCAGTTGCCGGATAGTTGGGCAGGTTGTGTGACGGCAATCAGCAATTCGGCGGGGAAAGAGAAGTTGAAGCTGAATGAGGTTGTTAGCATGATTCTATCCGAGGAGGTTAGAAGGAAATCGTCCGAATCAGAAGGTTCAGGTTCAGCCCTAAGTTTCGAGCAGAGAGGCAGAAGCCAGAAGAAAGGGAACCAGAACAGGAATCGGTCGAAATCAGTGAAGAAGAGGCCGAACTCGAAGGTTAGGTCTATCAAAGGGAAGTGTTGGAACTGCGGCCAGGAGGGCCATATGTCTTCGGTCTGTAAAGCACCAAAGAAGGATGCGGGTGAGCAGGAGGCTCATATCGTGCAGGATGCCTTGATCCTTGCTATGGATAGCGATTCTGATTCTTGGGTCATCGACTCAGGAGCTTCTTTCCACGCCACTGCTAATAGGAAACTACTTCAGAACTATGTAGCAGGGGACTTTGGTAAAGTATACTTGGGGGATAATGAACCTTGCAATATTGTTGGAAAGGGCGACGTTCAGATACAGATAAAGGGCTCTAAGTGGAACTTGAAGAACGTGAGACACGTGCCGAAGCTGAAGAGGAATCTTGTTTCGGTGGGACAGCTTGGAGCAGAAGGCTACGTTTCGACATTCACCGGGGATTCGTGGAGAATCTCCAACGGTACGATGATTGTTGCCCGAGGCAATAAAACGGGAACTCTCTACCTCACTTCACATGCGAGTGACACCCTCGCAATTGCAGCTGGCAAGGAGAGTACAGATCTGTGGCACAATAGGCTGGGGCACATGAGCGAGAAAGGGATGAAAATTCTACATTCACAAGGAAAGCTAACCGGGATCGACACCGTGGAAGTCGGGGTTTGTGAAGACTGCATCTTTGGGAAGCAGAAGAGGGTTAGTTTCCAGAAGGGTGGAAGGCCACCTAAGGCTCAGAAGCTAGAGTTGATTCATACAGATGTATGGGGTCCAGCCAGTGTGTCTTCTTTTGACGGTTCGAGATACTACGTCACCTTTATCGACGATCACTCGAGGAAGGTGTGGGTTTACTTCATGAAGCACAAGTCAGAGGTGTTCGAGATCTTCAAGAAGTGGAAGGCCATGGTCGAGAACGAGACAGATCTGAAGGTGAAGTGTTTGAGATCAGATAATGGTGGAGAATACGAGCTGGAGGAGTTCAAGAGGTTCTGTGCTACGAATGGGATTCGTTTAGAGAGGACTACTCCAGGGACGCCGCAGCAGAACGGCATTGCAGAGAGGATGAACAGGACCTTGACAGAGCGTGCGCGGAGCATGCGATTACATGCAGGTCTGCCTAAGACATTTTGGGCGGATGCGGTACATACGGCAGCATACCTTATTAATCACGGGCCATCAGTTCCATTAGATTTTGGGATTCCAGAGGAGGTTTGGAGTGGAAAGAAGATAAATCTCTCACACTTGCGGGTATTTGGTTGCGTGGCTTATGTTCATATCAGTGACCATGTCAGGGACAAGCTAGAAGCTAAGTCACAGAAGTGCACATTCATTGGATACGGCATTGATGAGTTCGAGTATCGCCTTTGGGATGAGAAGAACAGGAAAATCATCAGGAGTCGGGATGTGATATTCAATGAGGAGGTGATGTACAAGGACAGGGACAATGCCAAGGATAGCCAAAGCAGTGGGAGCAGCACTACGGATACAGGTGGATCCGAGTACATGGATTTGGAGGAACTTCCAGATGGGGGCGACGATGTCAGTTCTGACCGTAGAACGAAGGAGACTACAGGTGCAGAAACTACTACCCAGGGCATGGAGCCTAGGAGGTCATCTAGGGTACCCAAACCAAATCCCAAATACCTCTCGTCACTTGATTATCTACTCTTAACAGATAGCGGAGAGCCGGAATGTTATGAAGAGGCAGTGCAAGTGAGTGAATCTCAGCAGTGGGAGCATGCGATGCAGAAGGAGATGGATTCTCTACTCACTAATGAGACATGGGAGTTAGCCCAGCTACCTGCACAGAAGAAAGCCTTGCACAATAAATGGGTCTACCGGGTCAAGCAGGAGAGTGATGGAAGCAAGAGATTCAAGGCCAGATTAGTAGTGAAAGGGTTTCAACAGCGGGAAGGAGTGGACTACACGGAGATATTTTCCCCTGTTGTGAAACTCACAACCATCAGAGTGGTGTTGAGTTTGGTAGCTGCAGAAGACCTCTTCCTTGAGCAGTTAGATGTGAAGACTGCCTTTCTTCATGGTGACTTGGATGAAGAAATCTACATGAAGCAGCCTGTTGGCT